AAAAATTAGAATACAATAGGAATAAAATACTGTACACAACTGTACAGAATAGAATAAAATAAAATACTATATACAGTAGAATAAATAGAATAAAATATACAATAGGATAAAAATAGAATACAAATGCTTTATACAACTGAGTAAAAATACAACTTTGTCAGAAAAAGACTGACTTCACAAAAAAATAACCTCACTGGTCAAAACCTGTTAAAGGAGAGCAGAAATTAAACTTCACCTTCTAACCTCTGAAAGCCACAAGTGAAGCTAAAGACTGTCAGGTCTCATCAGCTTTGCTGTGCCAATTATGTTGTAGAAATATTGCTTTTAGCAATTTTATTAAGCTATCTTACCCTGCAAACACAGCACAATCAGACACAAACAAAATTCAGCTTCAGTGCAAACAGATAAGGACTTAGAATTACAGCCAGAAAACTTAATAACATCTAACAAAGTTAAAAATGTTCAAAGTTAAAAGCGAGGAAGTCTGCAACCAAGAAATGCCTTCATGAATGGAAACACAGAGATTGGTTTACAGCAAGATGCAAACCACTGTTTACACTCAGTAAAAAGTTAGACTTTGCCAAAAACCAGATAAAGGAGGCTGCATTATCTGACAAATGAAACAAAGACTAAACTGTACTAGAATAATGGGAGAAGAGAAGTATGGAGAAGGAAAGAAACAGCTAATGGTTTGACAAACATGGTGACATGTGCATATATGGCTGCCAGTGGAACCGGATCACTGGTGTTTATTGATGATGTGGCTGCTGATTAAATGAGAAGTGCACAGGGCTATATTCCCTGCTCAAACAACACTTCACGGTGGGAAATGGATAATGACTTAAAATCAGATTTAGTGGTGTACAGAGGCAAAACGACAAAACTAAATAAATAAAAATGTTACTTTCTAACTGCTGAAAAAGAGAATGTGTTGATGGTTGAAAGACAGACACACACACACTGACTCTTGCACTCGTCTTCAGTGCCCAGTTACAAATCCGTCCTTGTCTTGTTGGCGGACTATAAGCTTTCTGAAAGGACTTATGAAGACATTCATGATGTTTCTTTCATGTGAGCTAAGGATGAAAGAAAAAAAGATGAACCTGTGAACTCACACTTCAAAGCTCACAGCTCGGGAGAATTTTTCTTTAATTTCATGTTTCAGGAAACACACACGCACATACACACACACACACACACACACACACACACACACACACACACACACACACAGACACACACACACACATTTCACAATCACAGAGCACAGTGTGTGGGCTTGTGTGCATGTGTGTGTGTGTGTGCGTGAGACTCCAAGGTAACATAGGTGCATTTGTCAGTACAATGAAAATTGTTTTAAATAAAATTACACCATTTTTTCCTCATTTGCATAGAGTTGCTTGGGGAAAAAATGTGGTAAATTAACAGATTTTATTTAAATGTTTTCATTTCATTCTCCAACTATTCAGTCACATTCTGTTAGCTGGGAGGCAAGTGCCCTTGAGTTATTCAGAGCTGTTCATAAAGTAAGTCAGAGCTCTATCTATCTATCTATCTATCTATCTATCTATCTATCTATCTATCTATCTATCTATCTATCTATCTATCTATCTATCTATCTATCTATCTA